AATCTTGATGCCTAAACTTGATGATATGTCTTACGTCTTATTTTATTTCTAGGTGTCGGATCGGAAGTTTCGGAATAGATGTTGAATATTGTTGTTGTTGCCTTGTACCATTGCTACGTATTTGACCATCAAGGCTCCTGCGTGGGGGATTGCTGGGTATCAAGTGATTCTGGCTTGAAGTAGAGGTTGTAGATTTATGTGTACTGTGTGAACTTGATTGTGCACCACGAGCTATACTAGAATTTGATTGTCTCATCGAAAGACTACTGTTTGATGGTGGAAGAGATGATGATGATGGGTTTTGTCGTCTCATCAAATCGTAATTTGTAAGATAGTTCCTGGTCTGTAAAGGCATTTATGGAATTTAATACTTTGAGATAAACATTTCATACATTATATATTATTTTAAATTAATTATTTACATTAAGTTTCACATCAGTTATCCATTCATGCATGAGACCTTCATCCGGCTTCATTCGTTTTTCAGGATCCCAATGCAGACAACGCGATATAAAGTCCAAGAAAACTTCGTCTTGACATTTCAAAACACCCTGTAATGTTTTTGTTCCAGGCCGCCGACGTTTACCTTTTGAATTTATAACCGGGCGTGGATTACCATTTAAGTCTAGGAAAAAAAAAAATAGGGTTTAATAATATGATAAATAATATGATATTGATAATGTGATAAAAAAATATATTATATGTATATATATACCGAAAAAGAGCTTCTTTCTTGTGCTCTTTTCTATTAAATATCTCTCAGGAATTCCTTGAATCTCCATTATACATGCCAATTGCTCTTGTTCACCTTCCCCTGGGAAAAGTGGATAACCTAATTACAATTATAAAAATATAATATAATATAGTATATAACATTAATAAATCAATAAAATTACAAAATTTTAAACTAATCACTTTAACTAACCTGTATACAACTCAGCAAGTATACAACCTAAACTCCACATATCGATTGCCATATTATAAGTCATTCCTAATATGACTTCAGGGGATCGGTAAAACCGACTTTGAATATAAGTATATACTTTTTCGTTTTCGAAACAACTGCTGCCAAAGTCAATGACTTTAATACTGCTCTTTGTCGGATGTTTTAAGAGCACATTCTGCTCATAAATAATAAATTTATTCAGTTTTATAGTTCGGGTCAATAATGTATAAGATGTAATTTATCGACAACTACCTCCGGTTTTAAATCACAATGCACTATATTGTGCTTTTGTAGTAGTGACAAAGAATTCAGCAGCTGGACGCAAAATCTGTGACAAAAAATTAAATCAATATATTTTTATTTTAAAATTTGCAACCATAATAATCATAATCCATAATAACAGAAAATAAAAGCTATATCGTACCTTTTTATTAATCCAATACTGAATCCTTGGAAGTCATGACTCTTTATGAACTCATACAAGTTCATACTCAAAAGCTCAAATACAATACATAAATGATTCCGGAAATAAAAATGATCATCCATATGGACGATATTATGAGAATCATCAGGATCCTAAAGGATATTTAAAGACAAAATTTTTTTTTTTTAAAAAAAAATTAATTAATTAAATGAGTAATTAATAAGTGTAACATACCCATTTATTTAGGCATTCTAAAATTTTTACTTCCACTAATGCCTGACAATGAAACCTCTTTTTATTTCGAATTATTTTAACAGCCACATACTCTCCCGTTTTATGATCAAGACATTTTAATACTTGACCAAAAGAACCCTTGCCTAGACTTTCAACTATTTCATAACGATAACATAAATGATCATTGTTTATTACGATATAATCTCCACGATCATCATCGAAGCCAAAATTACAACCAGTCAATTCAGGACTCGATGCGACTTTTTGGGCATTTTGACCCACAAAATAAACTTCAGAATATTCTAATATTTCTGAACGCTCAAATAATGATAAAGATGGTGCATAAGTTTTAAGTGCTACGTGAGGATTCATAGCTGAAGACCCTTTCATTCGGGCTTCTTGCCTTCTTCGTTCTCTTTCGCGCTCTTTCTTGCTCTTTTCAGATCCTGGTAAAAAGCTGGTAGTTTCATCATCACCACTTGTTGTATTATCATCATACTGGCCAGCAGAATTATTATAACCACTTGGCGTACTTGCAGCAGAAGAAGAGGAATCTACTTCCATATTATTATAACCTGGTGTAAGTAAACTGGATGAACTAGGAAGATGTGTTGATGAAGAATTTGCACTCAAAGAATGAGTGGAATGCGAAGTTGTACGCTGTTTACAATTAGTCGAAGTTAAACTTGTCGGAGTTTTTGCAGAAGTTTTATTTCCTGAAAACATATTAGATATAGCAGTTGATAGGCGCCTAGTCCTTGCTTCTTTTAATTGAAAAAAAAATATAGATTTGTTTGTTTTTTTTTTTTTTAACATTTAGATAAATAATTACAAATGAAAAAGGATAATAACGAATGAAAAGGGATAATAGAATAGAATACTTGCTTTTATCAGGTTTACTAGAATTTAAAGAACTGCTAGTTGATGAATTTACAGCTGTACCATTATTTAATTGTGAACGTCCTTGTTTACTAGTTGGTGATGCAGGAGCTACTCTTGAAGTGGATAAAAGTCCCTTACCACTTGGTGATGATAAACCATTACCAATTTTAGTAGGTTTTGATGGTATCAGAGTTGGAGTAGGAATTTTTGAAGTTGGGGTTGTTAACATTCTGAAAGGAGCAGTGGGAGTTTTTGATTTAATATTAGGATTGGAATGAGTGGGTATTTTAACATTTGAAGGTAATGCGTTAATATTAAAAGGTGGCAGAGTAAGAGCGGCCAATTGAGCAGGAGCAGGAGCCATATTTGCTGGAAGTGTCTATGTTTTATTTATTTTATTATAATTAGAAAAATAATGTAAGATAAATGAGATTAACAACAGCCCTCACAACAAACTTTTCCAACCTGTCGTCGGATTATCTTATCAGTCTGCTGTTGGCCGGTTATCTAACATAATTCAAAACCAATCCATTTGTTTTATTTAAGCATTATAAAACAAACTAAATACTAACTACTAATTAAACAAAAAAAAAATAAAAAATAAAATAAAAAATCAAAAAAAGCTTTTACATACCGCTCCTCTCTGCCTTGTTTTTCTTGTCTCAGTAGTTTTATCTCTCTTTTCACGAGGCGAAACATTATCACCTTTTGATGCACGATGTGAAGTATTATCACCTTTTGATGCACGATGTGAAACATTATCACCTTTTGATGATAATGATGATTTTTGATCATTTGTTATTGATAAAGGTAATGCAGGTACAGGAGGAATATCATCATGAACCTTTGATAGTTCTTTTGTTAATTTAGGAAGCAAACTTGGCATAGCAGGTACGGGAGGAGGAAGTTGAGTATCACTTATTGGAGGAGGTAGAGAATCACGTTTAGAAGAAGTTGGAGTTGTAGTCCTACTATTGGCTGACTTTGGAGGAGACATACTCGAAGAATTAGTAGAACCATTAACAGTTAA